GGAGATCAAGCCCAGCCTGGCCAATTTTGTGACTCAGAGAGACCCTGACCCAAAATAAATTTTAAAAGGGTCAGGGATACAGCTCAATAGGAAAGTCCTAAGTTCAATCGCCGATAAGACAGAAAGAAATAAGTACATAAACAAATAGAGCTGGGGATATATCTCACTATAAAGGCCCTGGGTTCAAATCCCAGTAGGAAAAACAAACAAAAAGAGACAGGGATGCAGCTCAGTTTAGGTAGTGTTCGCCTAGCATACCCAATTCCTGGTACCCACCCCCCAAAAAAATTCATTTTGCTCAAAGCAATAGCATGCCTTTAGGCCAGGCATGGTGGTGCATGCCTGAAATCCCAGCAGGATTTTCCGGAGGCTGAGGCAGGAGTATCACTGTGACTCTGAGGCCAGTTTGAATCACACAGTTAAACTCTGTCTCAAAAAAGACACCACCACCACCACCACCACCACCCCTCCCCCCGCAAAAAAGCACACTTTTAGTCCCAGCCTGCTACGGGGAGGCTCAGGCAGGGGGAACACTTGAGTCCAGGAGTGCAAGGCCAGCCAGTGAAACATGATATATTCCCCAGCACTTTTTCTTTTTTCTCAGTGCTGGGGAACCAAACTCAAGGTGGTGCACATGCCAGGCAGGCACACTCTTTATGTGACTTCTTAGCTGGAGCTGGTGTGTGGTGCACACATACAATCTCAGCACTCTGAGAGGCCTAGGCAGGAGGATCACAAGTTTGAGGCCACCCTAGCAAACTCTGAAACTTTATCAAGACCCTGTCTCAAAACAAAAATATAAAAAAAGGCTGGGGATATAGCTCAGTGCAAGACCCTGAGTTCAACCCCCAGTAACATCAAAAAAAAAAGAAAAATAATCTTAATCAGAAAAAGAAAAACCCAAAATAAAAAGACTTGAATACACATTTTACACAAGCACAAATGGCCAATGAACATATGAAAACATACCCAGTTTTAGGAAATATTAATAAAAACACAAGACACCATTTTAAACCCATCAAATTAAAAAAAAAAAAAAATTAAGCCAGGTGTGCTGCTACCCAGCAGTAAAGCTGGAATCAGCAGTTCACTGAAATTTAGGCACTTACAATATCAGCACTTCAGCTGGAAATGAATACCTGAATTTTTTTGTACTTCACAAAATAAACTAGAAAAAGTGGGAGAAGACTAGAAGTTTTCTTTTTTACAGTATATTGCTGAGTCAAGTTGGACTCATTTTTATATTGCTGAGTCAGGTTGGACCAAAGTTGATAATGGCCAAAATTTGTATTTGGCAGTAATTTGCTTACGTTCTCACAATGCTGGATTGGTCATTACCAGTTGCTTAATGCTCACCAAATACTTTCAGTGTCCTGAGTCACTAAATTGGCTCCTAGTAGTTGTGAATCATGTGGTTACTGACTCAAGAGTCATAAGCCAACAGTATGTGTTTCAGTTGTTTCATTTCCTCCCCAACACTGGATATGAGACTTTTTTTTTTGAGACAGGGTTTCTGCCATGTAGTTTAGGCTGGCCTTGAACTCAATATGTAGCCCAGGCTGGCCTTGAACTTAAGGCAATGCTGCTGTCTCAGTATCACCACTGCTGGGATACAGGTATGCGCAACCATGCTTGGCTGTACAGCATTTTCAATGACATTACTTTAAAATCAGTGCATTTAGCCAGCCGCATGGCACACACATATAATCCCAGTTACTCAAGAGGCTGAGGCAGGAGGATGACATTCTAAAATCTAAATCCCCAGGATGAATGTAACCATTATGCAGTATAAACATGTACTAATAAAAATGTTTTAATAAAACCCTACTCAAAATAAAAATAAACCAAGCATGGTGATACACACCTATAATCTCAGTAATCTGGAAGCTAACACAGGATTGCAAATTGGAGCCTGGCCAAGGCAACCTAGCAAGATCATGTCTTAAAATAAAAAAGAGCTAGGGATGCAGCTCAGTGCAACCGTTCCAGGTTCAATCCCCAGCACTACTGCTGCTGCTACTGATGATGATGAACAAAACTGAAGGCCAGGGCTGGGGACACAGCTCAGTGGCACAGCGCCTGCCTGGCAAGCTCAAGGTCTCGAGTTTGACTCTCAGTACCAAAAAAAAAAAAAAAAGAAAGAAAGAAAGCCAGCCAGCCTAGACTACATAGTCCAAGCCAGCCTTAACTACACAGCAAGATCCTATCTCAAAACATAAAAAGAGCTGGGAGGGTAGCTTCCTTGCCTAGCATACCTGAGACCTTGAGTTCAATCCCTAGTACAGGGAAAGAAAAAGCTAGTGTGTTTATTTTATAGGAATTGGAATGACCCCGTGATCACCTAAGAAGGGCAAAATGGTGTGATATTCAGCGTGAGCATGAACATTAGACATATGAATTCAAATTTTTATTCTAAGCCAAACATGGTGGTTCATACTTGTAATACCACCACTCAGGAAGCTGAAGCAGGAGGCTAGCCCGTGCTGCACAGCAAGTCGCAGACCAGCCTGAGTTACACAGGAAGGTCCTGTCTCAAAAAAAATAAGTGCAGATTCTACCATTTTACAGCGATAATCTTAGTTACGCTACCTCTCCGGTTCTGTTTCTTCAGTGCATACAAAGCATGTGTATCATAACCAAGCTACACAGCTACTGAAACTATAAAGATCAGGTGAGATTATCTACTGCTTAGCTCTCCAGGCTCACGAACACATGCCCAGCGTTAGCACCTTGCCCTCTGTAAACACTTCCTTTCACCTAATTCTCTTTCTCTGGGGCAGAGGGGGAGCTGGGTACTGAACCCAGGGCCTCTCAGATGCTGGCAAGAGCTCTACCATGGAGCTTCAGCCCCAGCCCTCACCTAACCTTTTTCAAGTCTGAAGTTATAGCTCCCAATTAATTCACAGGAAAATATCATTCTTACATTCAGATTATTTCTCAATGTTTCAGGAAACTATACACTACTAATTGGGAAAGAAAGCAATCCACCACTTGCTTCTAACAGAAAGTACTTTTCCTGTAATAAACTCTAGAAAATCCTATTATTTCTTATAACAAATCTGGACAAGAGGGATCTTCACTTGTCCTTGCAGTGTAGAAATAGGGATTCCCACACTTAGGAAACTAAGCCCAAGTGATTGCTAAGCTTCTTTTCAACTCAAAGTCTCTTTGATTCTAAGAAAAAGCTTATTTAAACTGAGCATGGTGGTGCACGCCCGTAATCCCAGCACTCTGGGGCTGAGGCAGGAGGACTGCCAGGAGTTCAAGGCCAGCCTGAGCTACACAGTGAGTTCCAAGTCCAACCTCAACTACATAGCAAGATCCTGTTTCAAAGAACAGAACAAGCTTATTTAAATGTTGTAAACAAACATTTCTTAGATAAATGCATTTCTTGAGAAAGACTGTCTAAAGAAAACCATCTGATCAATGATGAATAGTATCTTACTCATATTCAGTTCATCTGTGGAGAAAAAAGTTTATGCTTAAAAAGATCTACATTTGAACAATCCTAACACATTAAATATAACAAAAAAATATACACTCGTATCTACGCTCTAGAGAAAAGACAGTGCGCTTTTATATAATGCTGAAAATACTCTAAAAGAATTTTAGTCACCAAATTAAACTTGAAAGACTCTCATTTTAATACTAGCCAAGAGAATAAAAGATATACAAGGTCAAGCAATACTTGCCAAAGAAATGTTCACTAGCAACTACGGATGAGACTTGTCTACAGACCTAGTATTATCAGGATACTCCTCAAAATGAAAATGAAACATAAAGGCAGATACACACATAAAATGTCCTGATGAGGTAAGGTGTCTAAAATACTAAGCAAAAAAGAAAGTCAGAGGCTTTTATATTCACATACTTTTCTTCCTGTGACTCATTTTTAAAGCAACACTTTTTTTTCCAATGAGGCCAGAGCACGTTAATAAATTATCTGCTGGATAGTAATGGCGATATTCACTATAGAAACACTAATTCTCCATAATTATAATGAATTACTGAAACACGATAGGCATTCAATAAATAACAGAATGAATAGGAAGGAGCAGAAACAAATTTATAAAATTTCACAAAATAAAAAAAAAATTTTCACAAAGTCAGTCAATGCAAAAAATAGAACCCTTCACACTTTGCTACAGGCTAACATAGAAACTGGCTGTTTAACTAGGCTGGACACTAGCTAGAGAGAGCTATCTAGCACTATAAAGTGCCTTGTTTTCGCACCATCCAATCTGATAAAATTCAACAGGAAAACATCCCTCACATCTACCCAAATTCTCAAATACTAACAATTAAAACCGAGTAGAGGTAAAACACTAGTGAGACTAGAGCAGAATACAGTACGTTTAATATCAAATCTGACTTGCGATACTTCGTGGAGTGTAGTCTCAAGTTTTTATTCGGGTTTAACAAAGTCTGTTTTTACGTGCAGCCTTAACTTCCAGAAGCTACACGTGGGAACGACACAAGCGGCAGAGAGCACTTGTGTTTACCGAACACATGAACCGTGACTCGCTTTCACAGGAAGACTCGGGGCAGCTGCTGAGGCCCGGCCGGCCTCGTCCAGGCAGTCTCCACCCGGGAAACGAGAGCGCGCTGCAGGAGGCGGCTACGGCGGCTCCCGACCCGCGCCCGGCCCGCGCCCCGCTCCCCACTCCCGGCCGGCTGCCTCCCTCTCCCGCCCGCACCTTCCCGCTCCAGCCTG